CATGTGCATAAATTGATAAGACATTGAGTTACCTATGCCCTTGACTATGTCTGTGAAGACTTTTTACAAATGCCACTATTGACTCATCTGTTTTACTTTGTCTCATTGATTTTCTCTTATGAGAAATAAAATAGTTACCATATTTGGATTCAAAGATGTTTACAGAGTTAGTTAAGAGGCCAAGATATTCACAGAGAGGACCTGTCCTCAACTCTCTGTTCCTTCTTATCTTACTGTAGCCCATTTACGGATCTTCCTAAGTACACGAAGTCCTTTCAGATTGGTTTGTGCCAGAAATTATTCTGACAAGATGTAACTTTCTTCATAAGTTATCTAGAATAAAGAATGGCCTTCATTATTCTATTCTGCTGATGTAGTCCTGACCTGTAGTCGACTTTGTGATACAGCCAGGAATAGATGCTAAGTGTTCCCAAATCCAAATGGACTCTCAGTAACTATTTTTAATAGCAGATTCACTGTTTCCTTTGAGAAAGTTTTAATTTTTGCCAAAATTAGAGAAGCAGCTCTATTGCTAAATACAAGGAGATTCATAAAAATATTCTTCGATGAATGAAGTAAATTTACCATGTTTAAAATGGAATCGTATCTTTGGCAGAATAGTATGGAGGAAAAAAATAGGTTATGGGATCAGAAAAACCTGGTTTCAGTTCTACAAGTTAACATCTGTGTACTTTCGAATACTTTCTTACCCCCACTGAATCTAGCTCATCATCTATAAAATAAGCATAAAAAAGCTTTATCATAGGATTGTAAGAAGGTTAAATAAAGTTCTGTATATAATGTATCTGGCATCATATATCCAGCCTAGAAGTTACTCAAGGATCTTTTATCTATGTTCTTATCTTTAAATTGTTTTATTTGATATAAAACAATAAGTGGAAAGGAAATTTTCAGTATATTTTATATTAGAAACTTGAATAGATACTAATAATATATTAACCCTTTTACTGTAAACTTATCTCACCCTATCCTCCCTGAATTGTATATTTTTCTTGCTGAAGGTACCGATGCTGTTGAAATGATAGTTGAGCATCATGATGAGTTCGGCTATGTTTTCTCTGCTATGGTGAGGTCTCATGCTACAAGGAATTGAGCATGCTTAAGGGTAACGAAATGGAGGGCAGCCCTTCCGTTCAACTGCTGCACTAGAATCCAGAGGAGAGTTCAAGATAAGAATTAATCTAGTGAAAGAAACAGGATGGGATGACTCCCTAGGCCATGGTGAGTTCTAGGGAACAGATAAAAACAATAGTTGCAGTATTAGCCATCAACATTGGTGCCTTTGGGTCTCAGATATACTGCCTTGTTCACATCTACTTTTTGTAGTTAATCTTTTAAAGGGAACAATTTGTTCCATTTAATCTCTTCATTCATGCAGTGAATAGCTATTGTCTACTATTTGGTATCCCAGTGGTTTCTGTCATTGAGAAGGCTGGGAGTAAATAGATAGATAGATAGACAGACAAGATTGTATGAAGTAGTCCTAATACTATAATGAAAATAAAACAGGATGATGTTATTGAGGGATGTAGGAGCACTTTGGATGGTATGCTTATGGGAACTTTGCTGTCCTCTGAGAAGGAAACATCTGTGAGTGAGTGTGTGTGTGTGTGTATGTTATGTGTGTGTGTGTGTGTGTGCGTGTGTGCAGCTCACATTGCCAGTAACACAAGATAACACACCAAATATGAGTTACCTTACTGTTTTCTACTTTTCAAGTGATTTCTTAAAATTCATTTCTCAATATTCTCAATATTGACTCTCAATATTCTTTGGCTAGCTGGAGATGAATTAGCCTTTTGATCATCTCTTCACCTCAAATATAGTTTATCATCAGGTGTATAAACCCCAAAGCTGTGAGCCCTACAGAAAATAATGTAATATAAAACGAATGATAACATGGTCAGTATACATGAGTGTATTACTTATGAATATAAATTCAGAACTATGACATGCCATTACATGCTTTTTAGTCTTTTCCTTTCATGGACCATTAGGGATTGAATTCTTTAAGATGTGTTTTTAACATAATAACCCCTTTTGTGTTAGCCTAGGGTGGTTCCAAATGGAACTTTTTCAGAAGACATAAGTTTAAGATCTGGAACTTCCACAGAATGTCTCTGCATAGCTGGGCAGAGGTCTCAGGCTTTCTGAAATTGAGTTTCTTCATGTATAATATAGACGTGATGCCACTTTACCAGGTTGTGAAAATGAGATAATTGTGAATGAGAGCCTCTGAGTACCCGGTCTGGTGTTTGGCACTGGCTGGTTTTCAATAAATGTCTTCCTGAGACTGAATTTTCCACAGATTATTTCATATTTTTGATGGAGTAAAAACTCTTACTGTCAGCTCTTTTAAGTAAGCATTTCTGCCTGTAGCACAATGTATACAGTGTGTCATTTTGAAGCTTATTATCTGTATGATCACACTGCCTGTGCTAATCTCCCACACGGAAGTGTATTTTAACCTCCCTCACCAAATGACGTGACTGTCATAATCATGCAACGTGCCCAGAACCCCGACCTTAGCACTCACGTGAGGTTGAATTCGTGTGTTTATATGTCTCTTTGTGTTCTGCCTGGGGGCGCCTGGGTGGCTCAGTTGGTTAAGTGTCCAACTTTGGCTCAGGTCATGATCTCACTGTTCGTGAATCCAAGCCCTGCATCAGGCTCTGTGCTGACAGCTCAGAGCCTGGAGCCAGCTTCGGATTCTGGTCTCCCTCTCTCTCTGCCCCTCCCCTGCTCATGCTCTGTCTCTCTCTGTCTCAAAAATAAATAAAACATTTTAAAAAATTGTGTTCTGTCTGAATATTTTAACTTGGACTCTCTTCTTCTCTAGCTCCTTTCTTGGCCATTTTGTATTTTGAGTTTGAGGAGGTCCAAAAAAGCGTTGTGCCCTTAAATTTTTGGCCGCGTCTATCTTAGGTTCTAGCACACAGAGAAGTTCCACATGTCATTGATTGGCTTTGAAAAGGGAAATCATGTTTTGATCCTGCCCCACTGAGCTTGGCACATTTGGGTTAGATAATAAAAACAATGGTGAAATGTGTCTTTTCATGAAGAATGAGACTCTTGAGCTAATGGCTACAATCTGGTCATTTGGGGGAAAGACTTCTTTCATGGTTTGGGCAGTTTTCAGAGAGATTTGAAAGAGACGTGACATTAGGAAGTGTACTTAGGAAACTAGGAAAGGCAGTGAGATGATAAGAAGTGAAGTCTGAGGCGACCTCTGTGAAGAAGGAAGCAGAAAGAGGAAGGTCTGGGACCCTTCTGTAGTAGGTTGCATTTATTCTGTATTACAGATCAAAGCATTGGTTCAGCCATTTTGTCAGAGATGCAGCCTTATCTTTTAACATTATTTTTATTAAAATGAAATCGGCCTTAGGTTTGGAGAGGTTTTCCCCTTTATTCCTTTGACTGGAAATTATATAGTTATCAGAAAAGATGTTTCCTTTCTTCTCGAGCTCCTTTCCCTTCTTGCCTTTATCCCCCCTCAACATAATTAGAATTAATACTTCCATCGTGTTTCCCAAACCTGAAGACTGTGGGTTTAAATAATAGCTTGCTTAAATAATAAACAGAATTTTAATTAACCCTTCTTAAATTAAAAATAATCAATTTTTGTATAAACCAATAAGAGAATACCATAATTCAAGGAGCAAAATAGAACAGTCTCCTAAAATCCCGCCATCTGGACTCATGTTAATACTTTTATTTATATGACACCAACCATGCAAATTTAGGGAATGAAGGAGTCAGGCTATGGAGATGGTGGGGCTCGGGAGAAGAGTCGATTATGGAAGAAAATGAAATCAGAGGCTCTGAGCTGACCCTGAACTGTTAGCACAGACAGGATTGGAAACCTTTGTATAATCATGAATTTTTAAAAACAAGATCATGGTATACAAATTGCTTTGTAACTTGCTATTTTTATTTAATATAAGCGCCATTTTATGTGATTAGATAATCTTCTAAAGCATCTTTCATATAGGTAAGTATTCTGTTGTTTGTTTCATAGTATTTTAAACCAATTCCCACTGGCGAATGTTTAGATGGGATTGATATCTTGTAAAATTTATAGGGGGCGCCTGGGTGTCTCAGTCAGTTAAGCATCTGCCCTTGGCTCAGGTCAAGATCTCGCGGTTCGTGGGTTGGAGCCCCACATCCAGCTCTTTGCTGACAGCACAGAGCCTGCTTGGGATCCTCACTTTCCTCTCTCTCTCTCTGCCTCTATCCCTCTTGTTCTCTCTCTCTCTCAAAATAAATAAACTTAAAAATGTTTAAAAAAATAAAAATTATAAACTATGCAGAGGCGAAGATCCATGTAGATAAATCCATGTTCACAACCATGATTATTCCCTTAGAATAAAAGTTTTAGAAATATTACAGTGTCAAAAGATATGCATTTAAAACTCTTTTTGTTTAAATGTTTTATTTATTTCTGAGAGAGAGAGAGAGAGAGAGAGAGAGGGACAGCGTGAGCAGGGGAGGATCAGAGAGAGGGGGAGATACAGAATCCGAAACAGGCTCCAGGCTCTGAGCTAGCTGTCAGCACAGAGCCCGATGCGGGGCTCGAACCCACCAACTGTGAGATCATGACCTGAGCTGAAGTCGGACGCTTAACTGACTGAGCCACCCAGGTCCCCCAAAACTCTTTTTTTTCTTGATACATATTGTCCGGCCTAGCTTTGGTCCAAAACAGTGTTTGCCAATTTATATGCCCATCAGCTAGGTATGAAAGTGTATTTTTCTACACATTTTCCCAGGACACAGATGCTATCCCTTTGTGAATATTAGTGGCTCGATTTCATTATCATATGCATGCATGCACGTGTGCGCGCACACACTTATTTGTATGTATGTCTGATTGTATCTCTATACTCGTTCTTGCTTGCAGAATGTATTTTATCTTTTGAGCATGTCAGTCTGTGATATCAGATGAGTGTCTGCTCCTAAAAAGGACTATCTTGACTTCCCAGGTGCCTGTATGGACATCACCCACAGCCAGTGTCAGATGCTGCCCTACCACATGACGCTCACACCTCTCTTCTCCTTTGTCAAAAACATGGAAATGGAGAAGTTCCTCAAGTTCTTCATGTACCTCCATCGCCTGAGTTGCTATCAACATATCATGCTTTTTGGCTGTAGCCTCGCCTTCCCTGAGTGCGTCGGTGATGGTGATGACAGGTATTTTGGAACCAAAACCATTCGGTGATAAGAGTCAGTTGTACCAGAAGCATCTGAGAGGGAATGAGATCATCCTGAGCTACCACCATATATTTTTGTTAAAGGAGGAAATATCTCATGCCAGTCATAGCCCGTTGCAATTCTTTTAAACCAGACTTTTTTTTTTGGGGGGGGGGAAACCTAGAGTAGTTTTTTTCTGGGAAGAAATTATTCAGGATGTGAGGTTGAAGCAATCAGCTGGGATACTGAGTAGCTGTTTCAGTGAGGGGCTGGCAGAAGACAACACACTCAAAGGGGTGACTGGAAAGAGTTTATTGAAGAGAGGATTTATGGAGGTGTGGACAGGTTAAGAGAACAACTAAATGATGAAGGGCACCAGTGTCTCATGATAGGGGGATGCAGTTCCACCACCCAAGACTTGGAAGGGGAGAAGGGCAGACAGCCACCTGGCGAGAATTATAGCTTTAGGTAAGAGGTCTTCCAACCAGTCGAGTGCCGTGACCCTAGACACGCAAGGGTGTGTCATTGTTGTGAGCACAATGGATGAGATCCCAAATCTCGCCTACATATCATCTGATCCCAAGTCCCAAATCTCATCATCTAAATCAGGTAGAGGTGAGATGCTGGGTGGTTCTTATGGTCAACACTGGAACCCACAGCAGGGTGAGGAGGGTGAAAGGGAGATGCAGAAGGACAAACAGAGACTGTCTAACATTCTATTAAATAAGACTAGAAAGAATTTACTTATTTTGGGTGTGCGGAAGCATTTGTGAGTGAGTGTGCTTGTGTATGTGTCTTGTAAGCTCATTTCATTTTTTTGTTTGAGATATAAAATTGACATAAACATTATGTTGGTTTCAAGCATACCACTTAATGGCTCAGTATTTGTATATATTGCCAGATGATCACCTCAATGAATCTGGTTGACATTCATCACCACACAGTTGTAAATTTTCTTTTTCTTAGAATGAGAAGTTTCTTTTTTATTTTTTTAAGGTTTATTCATTTACTAGAGACAGACTGACAAAGTGTGAATGGGGGAGGGGCAGAGAGACGGGGAGACATAGAATCTGAAGCAGGCTCCAGGCTCTGTTGTCAGCAGAGCCTGATGCAGGGCTCGAACTCACAGACCACAAGATCATGACCTGAGCTGAAGTCAGACACTTAACCAACTGAGCCACCCAAGTGTCCCTAGAATGAGTTTTAAAACCAACTCTCTTAGCAAATTTTAACTGTATAATAGAGTATTATTTTTTATTTTTATTTTTTAATGTTTTTTTAAAAAAAATTATTTCTGAGAGAGAGAGACAGCATTAGCAGGGGAGGATCAGAGAGAGAGAGGGAGATACAGAATCTGAAACAGGCTCCAGGCTCTGAGCTAGCTGTCAGCACAGAGCCTGACGCGGGGCTCAAACTCACGAACTATGAGATCATGACCTGAGCTGAAGTCGGATGCTTAACTGACTGAGCCACCCAGGCACCCCTATAATAAAGTATTATTAACTATAGTGACTATACTGTATATTACATCTCCATAAATTATTTAGTTTATAACTGGAAATTTCTACATTTGACCACCTTCACCTTACTGAAATAGCATAAATTTCAATATTACGTTATTATACAGAAATAACAATTTTCAATAAGAGTAAATCAATTAAAAGTATGTTATGGAATATTTTAAATTTACTAAGTATACATTAAAATTTTTTTTCAAAGCATGTGTTAAATACATAATCACATAAAACATCAGTTATTTTCTGAATGAAAATGTTAAGCTAGCTTTAGGATAGTAATGTTAGAATGCAATGCATTTTAAGTGTAAATAGATTTCATGTTATTTGTAGTATTTTTTAAATGTTTGTTTATTTTTGAGAGGTGGGGGAGACATAGGATCCGAAGCAGGCTCCAAGCTCTGAGCTGTCAGCACAGAGCCCAATGCAGGGATCAAACTCACAGACTGCAAGATCATGACCTGAGCCAAAGTCAGATGCTTAAACAACTGAGCCACCCAGGCACCCCTATCTGTACTATTTAATTAGTGTGTGAAATGTGTTTAGAACAGGACAAAGACATATATTGTTTTGACTGGAAAATGCCTGCATTGCCACAGAATAAAATCTGGGTAGAATACAGCACTAGGTTATTATAGAAGTAAGTAAAGAGCTATGATCAGATACTGAGTTCAGGAAAATTTTCACAAGAAAGAATCCGACGCACAGCAGGCTTTCAAGGTGATAAGGGCAAAACAGTGGCACTGTAATGTGATGGTTGTATTAGTTTTCTAGAGCTGCCATAATGAATTATTACAAGCAGAGTGGCTTAAATAGACATTATTCTCTCAAGTTCTAGAAACTAGAAATCTAAAATCCAACATGACCATGTTCCCTCTGGAGGTTCTGGAGGGGTGGAGGGGACACTTTCTCCTTTTGTCAGCTTCTGGAAATGTCAGGCTTTCCTTGACCTGTGGCCACCTCACTCCACTCTCTGCCTCCATCTTCACATAGCCTTCTCTCTGTGTGTCTGTCTTTTCTCTTGTGAGGATACCTGTCATTGGTTTAGGTAGCCCAAGATGATCTCATCATCTGAAGGTTCTAATTACACCCACAAAGACTGTTTTTCCATATAAGGTCACATTCACAGGTTCCAGAAGTTAGGAAGTGGACACATCATTTGGGGGCCGTCCATTCAATACACTGCAGCTGCTGAGGACGCAGTGAATGGAGTCTCATGTCTTAGCCTCATCTTGTGCATAGATAAAACAATGAAAGAGAGTGCATTCAGGTTCCTGGAGACTCTGAATTCCCTTTTGTAACTCATCCTTACTGTAACTCAACCTCCACTCTCAGTCAAATCAGCCGAAATTTTTTTAATGTTTATTTATTTTTGGGGGAGAGAGAGAGAGAGAGAGAGAGACCGTGAGTGAGAGGGAGACACAGAATCTGAAGCAGGCTCCAGGCTCTGAGCTGTCAGCACAGAGCCTGATGTGGGGCTCGAACCCACAAACCACAAGATCATGACCTGAGCCAAAGTCAGACGCTTAACCGACTAAGCCACCCAGGTGCCCCTCAACTGTAAAATTTTAGTTAAGCCAACTCATAGCCTTCAGGACACTTTTAGGTAAAACTTGTTTTTCTTCTGACCTGGTTCATCCTGAGAAATGCTCTAATATAAGTGTTTTCCATTTTCTGTTGTAACAGATAATAATTTATAGTCACTTTTCAGATATACTTCGGGGACTTATCCTATTTTTTATTATTACAGTTATTATTATATTTAATTTTATAATTACATTTTCAGACCAGTGTAATTTAGTGTGTGCATAGACCTGTTAGCTAGTTTTAATAAGCAAAATAAGTTAATGAAGGTAAAATGTATTATAGAAAATAACGCAAACATTTTTCTTATTTTTCACTATTTGGGTCATCCATTATACTAACTTTTTTTACTGTTCAAATAATGGAGAATTGCTTATATTCTACCATAGCCAAAATAGGTATTTAGTAATATTTAAAATTTAGTTTATAAAAGATCTAGTGGACTGTATAAATAGTATAGTTTTTAACCTGCCCCTCAGATGCTCATTAACTACATATATATATCAGTGAACTTTAATAATTTCTATTCAGACGAGGATTGCTATGAATAAATATGTGTATCATATACTCTAACACAGGCTAATTGAAGTGGTGAATAGTTTCTATGAATTCAGTGACATATCTCAAACTATAGAGATTTAGCTGATAAGCTATTTGGGTAGTCATAAAAATATATGAGTTACAAAGACTAGCCTAAAAATATCAGCAAGTAGCTAGAGAGAAATTCACTATTTCTGGGCCAGGAGAGTAACAGTTATTCCTGGATGGCTTTTGGAAGAGAAACCAAGTATTGCATTCACAAGAATTTCTATGTATAACTATCATTCATTCCAACCTTGTTTAATTAATAGGCCTATAACATATCAAAGCTAAACGGGGGTCAGTTTGCCTTGGAAGGTCCAGCTTTGCTTCTAGAAGACACCCAGGAGACCCATTGATGCGGGGTGACGGTCACCCCACTCACATCTTCTAATACTTTGTAGAGAAACTCTGTGCTCATGGAATGAGTCCTTAACATTAAAATCTTGACATGCTTATTATTGATTCTTTTCCCCCTCTGGAGTATTGATTTGGCATTAGGTCCTTTGCAGAAATTCCTTTTTTTTAAAATTTTTTAATATTTATGTATTTTTGAGAGAGAGTCAGAGATACAGCATGAGTGGGGGAAGGGTGGAGAGAACGGGAGACTCAGAATCTGAAGCAGGCTCCAGGCTCTCAGCTGTAAGTACAGAGCCTGATGTGGGGCTCAAACCTGAGATCATAACCTGGGCCAAAGTTGGACGAATAAGCCACCCAGGCACCCCCTTTGCAGAAATTCTTAATATCTGTGGAAATGAAATAAAACATTCTTTATCTAGCTGGGTTACTTGAGATCAAAGATTATATCTCAAACCTAGGAGCTCCGGGACAGTTTTCTATAGTGTTCTCAGTCCCTGTAGGATTGTGGTAAGGATAAAATGAATTTCCTTGAATGATCCTCTTCAAAAGAACTATTACACTTTTTTCCCAAATAAGTATGGTGACTGGAAGTTAGAAAATTTAATCTGGTAACTACAGAGAATGCACTTGAACGTTTGGGGGCAGATGAAACTTGACTCAAACTATAGCTCTGCCAATTGCCAGTTAAAAGGCCTTGGGCATATGTGTTAGCCTTCGAACCCATGGTTTACTCATTTCTATGATGAGAGTGTTAATAGCTCCTTTATAGGCTGCGTCTGTGTGTATTAAACAGAATGACTTATGCAAAGTGCCCATACATGGTTTCCCCATAGGGTGCACAGTAACTTCTCCATAAGTAATAACTTATTTATTGATATGGCAGTCAAAGATGATATGCAATTTTCTGGAAGGGTATAAACTTCATCACCTCCTTTAAAGATGCAAGATTTGCATTTTTAAAAA